CAGCCACACTTATCAGGAGTAAGGGTAGAGGAGAGGATTACATAGGTGTCATGCTAGGTTAGGTCATATGCCTGAGTGAGGTAATGAAATTCCTTGATATAGGCAGTAGGATTGGCAGAGAAGGACCCTAAGCATTTCTCAATGGTGGACAGATTGGCAAGGGAGAAGGGGACGTGAACCCGGAGAACACCCTCTGTTCTGGCCACCTCACAGAGAGGACAAAGGAGGGAATGGCTGATGCTAGGAGTGCCATGTGAGCGGGTGTGGGCATTAACAGGAGAGGCCACATCAAGACTCGGAAGTGGAGGGGCAGGAGGGGATTGGGTGCAAGCTGGAGGAGGATGTGGGGGGCAAGCTGGAAGAGGAGGAGGAGGGGGGATGTTGGGGGCAAACTGGAAGAGGAGGAGGAGGAGGATGTTGGGGGCAAACTGGAAGAGGAGGAGGAGAAGGGGGGTGTTGGGTGGAATTGGAAGAGAAGGAGGAGGAAGAAGGGATTGGGTGGAAACTGGAAGAGGAGGAGGAGGAGGAGGGGGTTGAGGGTCTTTGTATGGCGGGGTATTATTGGGTATGCTAGGTATTCCCAGCAGGGAAAGTTCTTCAGTCAGATTGGGGTCAGAAAAAAAAGAGGAGGAGGCCGGTGAAGGGGCCGAGGGCAGAGTGGGAATGTCTTTGGCCAGGAGCACCTGGGTGGTACTGCAAGAGGAGCAGAGGTTGAGACGGGAGCAAAGGTGCCAGAAAGCTTGAATATAGGGAACGTCTGCCCACTTCCCATTTCTCTGGCAAAAGTTGTCTAAATCTGTCAGGACCTTGCAGTCAAGCATGCCTTCTGGAGGCCACTTGGAACGGTTGTCCAGGGGATACTGTGGCCAGGCTACAGTGGAGAGGAAGAACAGCATTTTCTTTTTTATTGAAAGACCCAGCTTGGGTAGGCTTAAAACTAGGCACCCAGCGGTGACTTAGGGTTACGGCAGGATCCCGGTTGCCCATAATTAGCTAGTTAAATATGGGGGTGAGGTACTACACCCAACACGGACAAAAGAGCTATTTTCCTGGAGGGGGTGGCTGAGAGCTTACAAGCTGCAATGAATACAATGAGAAAGAAGATAAAGAGAGATAAGGCTAGAGCTATCTGCCACATGGGAGATTTTGAGGAAGTGACAGGAACAGGGGTAGAGGGCGAGGTTTTAGTGACAGGGGAAGTGACAGGGAGAGAGGCAGAGAGTGAGGTTTTAGTGATGGGGAAGTGACAGGGTGAGAGGCAGAGAGTGAGGTTTTAGTGATGGGGAAGTGACAGGGAGAGAGGCAGAGAGTGAGGTTTTAGTGATAGATGAAAAGTAGAAGGAAAAAAGAGAACAGAGTTATCTCTAGAGGTAAAAAGTCAGTGAAGGTCCCCTGTAGCCAGTGGTCCATTACCCACTGTAAGATATCTTCTACCTCGAGGGAGGCAGGCCTGAACCACTGTATGTCAGCCAGCAGGAGCCTGATGAAGTTGGCAAACTTACAGTAAAGACAGCACCACGTATAGGTTTGACGAACGAAGGGTGGGTGTCCCCCGGATGGGAGACCAGTCCAATGCCTGCCCGGCCACGTCCCCAGAGGGATATTTCAGGGGTGTCTTGGCTAAAGTGTACCCGTATAACCCCCGGGCCTGATCACCTCAAAACTTTTGGTCCTGAGGTGAATCACTGTTATGCCTTATGACGCCCCCATGGAACCGCAGGTGGAGGCCCACTCAAGCCCCGTAGCCATTAGGCCGTGGGACTACACATAAACTCACTCAGTCACTCACTCAGTCACACACTCACTCGGGAACAGAAAGGAGGAACTATGAGTACTTAGGCGGGAGTTAGCTTGTCAAAGGGCTGATTTGGGACTAAGAGCCGGGGTCTGGTCCAGGTCCTGAGTAGGGCCTGGAGCTGTAAATGGGGCTTCTTATTACCCAAACCTCACTCACTGCTGCAGAGATGATCGGAAGGCATCCTGGACTGCACTGCTGAACACCAGAGAGGGTTCAGGAAGATGGGGACATCTCCCTCAGGTTCCTGACCCCCGGCAGACCCCTTATGGGGAGAGGACAAGAGTGTAGGGACGTCTGTTCTATGCTCAGGTCCTCAGAATGGAACCGGGTTCCCGGGCCCACGGCGGTAAGGAGTCCCTGACACGGCCGCAGTTACAGGCAGGGAGTCCACAGAGCAGGCAGCAGGAGAGGCTATGGGCGACAGAAGTCTTACCTCACGGCGGAGTGGTTTCCTGGTCTGGCTTTAGGTGGAGGAGTCAGTTTCCCCCAGGAGGGTCAGTTTCCCCCAGGAGTGGGTCTTACAACTCCTCCCGGGTTTTGGTACCACTTGTAATGGTTACTGCTGAGTTTAAAATGTGGAAACTGAGGCCAGTATAAGAACAATCAGATGCCAATTTATTTATCTCCTGGGCAAGTTTCTGTGGTCCTAAGGAAAAGGGGCCAAAGAAGTCACGCTTGACTTCTCAGGGCAGGGGGTTTTATGGGGGTTAGAGGGGGGCTGGCCTAGGATGCATGGGGTGGGCTGCCATTGGGGAAGGCTTGGCAAGATTTCTTCAATTTTCATGGGTTCAACTGTATAGTTTAGTGCCAAGAGTGCACAGTTTAGTGCTGAGGTTCAAATGCATAGCTTGGTGCTAAGAGTGCATAGTCTAATGCTGAATATAGACCTGGGACAGAATGCAGAAGTGGGTGAGAGGAGCCTGCATAGAGGAGCCAGATGCTGAGTAATGTGTTCTGCCTAACTGTTATCAGACATAGAGAGGGATGGGTGTTGTTCATCCAGCTCTTAGCAAGGCTATCGGCCTTACAGCTAGAAAGTCCAAGATTGAGGGGCCACATCTGGTGAGAGCCTTTTAGCTGCATCAAAACTTTGTAAAAGGCATTATATGGTGGAAGGGCAAAAGAAGGAGAGAGAAAAGCAAGAGGGGGTAAATTCATTCCTGTGAAAAAGAAATCATTCCCTCAATAGTGGCATTTGTCTATTCATGAGAGCAAAGCCATCATGATCTAAACACCTCTTAAAAGTCCCATCTTTCAAGACCATTACAATAGCAATTAAATTTCAACATGAATTTGGAGCGACAAAGGTTAAACCCACAGTATTCCCCTCATCATGTTTTCCTTACACACAAAAGACATTTATTTCATCCCAATAGCTCCAAAGTCTTAATTCCTTCCAGCACCAACTCAAAAGTCCTAAGTCCAAAGTCTTATCTAAATCTGATACAGGTAAGATGCAACACAGTTCATTCTGAGACAAACTCCCCTCTAGTTGTCAGCCTGTGAAATTGTTTAAGTTATCTATTTCCACAATACAATGATAGGTATAGCATAGACAGGTATAGCATAGACATTCCCATTCCAAAATGGATAAATAGGCAAGATATTGTGTGTGTGTGTGTGTGTGTGTGTGTGTGTGTGTGTGTGTGTGTCTTACTTTAACAGAATACTACAGAGTAATTTATAAAGAATGAAAATGTATTGGCTTATGGTCCTGGAGGCTAAACAGTCCAAGATAGAGGGGCCATATTTGATGTGGGTCTTCTTGCCACATCATAACACAGCAGAAGAAGGGCAAAGAGGGGATGAGAGAGATCAAAGAAGGCACTAACCCCCTCCTGCAATAATGATATTAGCTTATTCTTGAAGGTAGAGCCCTCATGCCCTGAATACCTTTTGAAATTCTGACCTTATACTACCATCACAAAGGCAGTTACATTTCAATGTGAGTTTTGGAGGTGACAACCATTCAAATTATAGTGGACATACAGTTTATATAAAAGTATCTAAACAAGTGCTAGCCACTAGAACTTTCTGTCATGATAGGAATGTTCTGTTTATGCTGCTCAATATTATAGCCTTAGCCACATGTAGCTATTGAGTATGTGGCTATTGTATATGAGAAAATTAATCCTTAGTTTGATTTAATTTTAGTTAATTTAAATTGAAGTGACCATATGAGACAATTGATTACTATATTGGACAGCACTGAATACATTCACTCTTAATCTCTGTATTTACCTATCATGTATTAGTGAAAAACAGTGTGTGGACTGGCATTGGCCCACAAACCATGCTTTGAGTAGCACTGTTTAAAACATGGACTCTAGAGCTAGAAAGCCTTTGTGTGTCTTTGGCAAATTGCTTAATCTCTTGGTGCCCCAGTTTCCTCATTTGTAAAATAAAGGTAATAATAAACTACCTCATAGAACTGTTGTGAGGATTAAAGCACTAATGAATGTAGCATATTTAGCACAAGGTCTGGCACATAGCATGTACTATATAAATGTTTCCTATTATTGTTATTATTATATTTATTCTGTAGGTAGCAGATATCAAACAGTCAAATGGTAACAAAACCCAGTCTTTTGATTAATTGTCTGCTTTTTGCAGTAGTTTAGCCTTCTTCATTTTAAAAATATACTACATTTTCTGGCATATAGTGACTTTTAATAAATATCTTTTGAACATAAGCATAGAGTACTTTTCAAGTACAGATGAAGAAGCAATTATTTTCCTGAAGGGGGGATTAGTAAAAGTATTGAGAAAAGATGACAGCTGAGAGGGCCTCAGTGGGTAAATCTGACAGGCAAAGAGGAGAGAACACATCTGGCAGAGGGAGCATGGACACCCATTTGGAGTATACTCTATTTAGGAGACCATACAGCAGGTAACACTGTCTTAGCTCTATCACTGCTACCACCGCTTCTTTTTCTCCTTCCCAGCTCTTTTCTTGATTTATCCTTTTAGCATATTTTAAACAGGATTAATAGGTAACATGTGATTCTACAGTTTTACGGAAGGTCAATCATTGCCTCTTTACTTGTCCATTCCTTGGAGTTATGGTGCCTGATTTGATGGTGGATGTTGGGCAAAGGTTGGGAAGAGAAGGGGAATGCTGCTTGAAAAGCAATCCCTGGGTTATGGGCAGATAGCTGTGAGATTCTTTTCCCCTAAAACATAATGTTTCTTATTTATGTAGATTATCATAACAAGAACACCAACTGGAAAAAAATGGAGTTTCTTATCTTCACATATTTTGGTGTTGTTCACCTTTTATCCCTGTGCTCTGGCAAATCTATATATAAGAATGGCATCTCTAAGAGGACTTTTCAAGAAATAAAAGAAGAAATAGCTAGCTATGGAGATATTGCTAAAGCAATAATCAACCTTGCTGTTTATGGTAAAGCCCAGAACAGATCCTATGAGCGATTGGCACTCCTGGTTGATACTGTTGGACCTAGACTGAGTGGTTCCAAGAACCTAGAAAAAGCCATTCAAATTATGTACCAAAACCTACAGCGAGATGGGCTGGAGAATGTTCACCTGGAGCCAGTGAGAATACCCCACTGGGAGAGGGGAGAAGAATCTGCTGTGATGCTGGAGCCAAGAACTCATAAGATAGCCATGCTTGGTCTTGGCAGCAGCATTAGGACTCCTCCAGAAGGTATTGTCTTTTCAGTTTGATTTGTATTTTATTAAAGTAATGTCACTTGGTGTAATTGAGTATGATATGCATGATTCGTGTATTATAATTTGGATAATTTCCTATTCCATTGGCTTAATGAATTCTCTACCCTTTTTTGTCCTCCCAGTTTTTACTTGTTTCTTTTCTGAAAGAAAACTGATCACGTTGGATCACTTTTTAAATGTAGGATCCATAGCCACTGGTCCATGATACTTATCAGCTCTCTCAGTCTGTAATTACTATCTAGTGAAGCATTAGCATCCTTCTATAGATAATTGAGATATATATAAACAGCGTACAAAAACTATGACTTCTTCCAAGTGGTCCCAGTGTGAATAATTTTTTATAATTAATGAAATAGAGAATACAACTTTGTACTCTGAATTGATTAAATTATTTTTATAGAACCTGAGTCTTCTAATGCAAGGAATTATCCAAGATTGAGTTCTGCCTTTACTTATAAGCACCCTGGATCAGCTTTATCAGATAATATACAGTAAATGCCCAGATCAGGGATGTATAACCAGTCATCAGGCAGCTATCAGTTCACCTTGAATGTATCCATGGGCTAATTTCCGGTGGCAGAAGAATGAATTTCTGTTCTTTCCACTTTCTTGAATGCCAAGCGAAAGGCCCAGTGAGGAAGTAGATTGTCAGTTTAAAATATTATTTATCGAAATATAGTTCACATACTACAATGTTCACCCATTTAGAATGTACAAGTGATTTTTAGTGTATTCACAGAGTTGTGCAACCACCACATTCTAACTGTAGAACATTTTCATCACCGCAAAAAGAAACTCTGATCATTTGTGTCATTCTCCAGTCTATCTATATCCCAGCCCTAGGAAACCACTAATCTGTTCTCTGTCTTTATGAATTTACTTATTCTGGGCAATTTACAAGAATAATATACTATATGGTCTTTTCTGAATTTTTTTTTTCATGTAGCATACTGTTTCCCAGGTTCATCTATGTTGTAGCATGTTTTGATATTTCATTCTTTTTATTGCTGAATAATATTCCATTTTATGAATGTATCACATTTTATTTATCCATTCATCAGTTGATGGACATTGAGATTGTTTTCACCTTTTAGGTATTATGAATAGTGCTGCTATAAACATGCAATCACAAGGTTTTCATGTGAATATTTGTTTTCATTTATCTTGGATATATACCCAGAGGTAGAATTGCCAAGTTATATACCAGCTTTATGTTTAACTTTATGAGGTATTGCCAAACTGTTTTGTGACTGCACAGTTTTATGTTACCACTGACAATATAGTATAATTTTTTTCATATACTTGCCAACACTTGTTATTATTGGTCTTCTTGGTTATAGCTATTCTAGTAGGTGTAGAGTGGTATCTCATTGTGGCCTTGATTTGCATTTCCCTAATGACAAGTGATATTGAGTATCCTTTCATGTTACTCCCCATTTGTTTATCTTCTTTGGGGAAATGTGTATTTAAATTCATTGCCCTGTTTTTAATTGGAGTATTAGTTTTTTATTATAGAGTTTTAAAGTCTTTTTTTATGTATTGTGCATATAAGTCCCTTTTCATATATTTGATTTACTAATGTTCTCTCCCATTCTGAGGATTGTCTTTCCTCTTTCTTGATGGTAATATTTGCTACAGAAATATTCAAGTTTTGATTTAGTCCAACTAATTTATTTTATTTCTTTTGTTGCCTGTGCTTTTGGTGTCATAGCAAACCATTGCCTACACCATGCTCACAAACATTTACTACTCTATTTTCTTCTAAGAATTTTATGGCTGCCATTCTTACATTTGTATCTGTGAATTAATTGCATTAATTTCGGTATATGGTGTAAGATAAGGCTTCGGCTTTCTTTTTTTAAATATGGTCATTCAGTTGTCTCAGCTTCATTTGTTGGAAAGGCTATTCTTTCTCCTTTAATTGGGTACATTATATTAATTGATTTTCAGATGTTAGACAAACCTTGCATTACTAGGATAAATCCCGCTTGATTATGATACATAATCTTTTTTACATGGTGTTTAATTCAGTTTGATAGTATTTTGCTTAGTATTTTGTATTTATATTCTTAAGGATATTGGCTTGTAGTTTCACTGTGCAGTAATGTCTTTTTTTTTTTTTTTTGTATCAGGGTAAGACTTGCCTTATGAAATCAGTGGCAAAATATCACCTCATTTTCCATTCTTTGGAAGAGATTACAAATGACTGATGTTAATTCTTTAAATTTCTGGTAGAATTCGCCAGTGAGGCCATCTCATTCAGGCTTTTCTTTGTGGGAAGATTTTTAATTATTAATTCAATTTCTTTACTTGTCTAATCAGATTTTTAGTTTCTTCTTGAGTCAGTTTTAGTAGTTTGTGTCTTTTGAGAAGTGTATCTGTTTTAGCTAAGTCACTGTAATTTGTTGGTATACGGTTATTTATAGTATTTCTTATAATTTTTTTTTATGTTTGTAAGGATAGGGGTCTAAATCACTGCTGTCACTTGCTTTCAGACAGAAAAACTTTGTTTAGTTTTTTTCTAGCAGCAAATTCTCTATGCCTTTATGCATCTTTATCTATTTAACCTTCAGTTTTGAAAGATAGTTTTACTGGACATGAGATTCTTGGTTGACAGGTTTGTTTTTTTTTTCTTTTCTTTTACTTTCAGCAGTTTGAAAACATCATCCATCCCATGGCCTTCTGGTGTTTTCTTTTCTTTTTTTGAGAAGGAGTTTCACTTTTGTTGCCCAGGCTGGAGTGCAATGGCATGATCTCAGCTCACTGCAGACTCCACTTCCCTGGTTCAAGTGATTCTCCTGCCTCAGCCTCTCAAGTATCTGGGATTACAGGCATGCACCACTATGCCCAGCTAATATTTGTATTTTTAGTAGAGATGGATTTTCACCGTCATGGCCAGGCTGGTCTCGAACTCTTGACCTCAAGTAATCTGCCTGCCTAGGCTTCCCAAAGTGCTGGGATTACAGACCTGAGCCACCATGTCCAGTTTGGACTCCATTGTTTTGATGAGATATCAGATGTTACTGTTTTGGAGGTTTCCTTGTATGTGATGAGTCATGTCTTCTTTATTGCTTTCAAGATTTTCTTTTCATTTTTGGTTTTGATTGTTTCAACTCTAACATATCTAGGTATATATATCTTTACTTTCATCTTATGTGGAAGTTGTTGATTTCCTTGGATGTATAGATTTAAGTTTTTCATCTTTTGAGCAGTTTTCAGCTATTATTTGTACAATTTTTTTTCTTCCCTTTTTTCTTACAGTGTATTGGTGATTTAATAATGTCCCACATTTAAATGCTCATTTTTCTTTATTCTTTAGATTATATAACCTCTATCAATTATCATCAAGCTTACAGATTCTTTCTTCTATTAGCTTAAAGCTACTATTGAGCCTCTATACTGAATTTGTCTTTTTAGTTACTAATTTTAAACTCCAGAACTTCTCTTTGGTCTTTTAAAAAAATAATTTCTGTGTCTTTATTGATATTCTTCATTTGATGAAATGTTGTCATCATATCTGTATTTAGTTCTTTAAGTATGGTTTCTTTTAGTTCTTTGACTATTTTAATAGTAGCTGCTTTGAAGTGTTTGCTTTATCCTACATCTGTGCTCCTTAAAAGACAATTTCTACTGCCTACTTCTTGTTTTCTTGTGTACAGGTTATACTTTATTATATCTTTTTATGCCATAGTTTTAAAAACAGAAAACCTGAATATTTTAAATAATATTTTATGGCAACTCTGGATACTGATTCTTCTTCTTCTTCCCTTTCCCCCATCCATTACTTGGTCATTCATTTGTTTAATTGCTTGACCATACTAACTCTGTAGTGTCTTCTTCTCCTACAGTATTCAGCTTCTGATGTTCCTCTTTAGGTTGTTTTTATTTTTTCTTATTTTTTTTATTTTAGTTGGGTTCCCTAGGAGTCACCTGTAGGTCTGCATAAGCCACTTACTGGTCAAAGGTTATACTTAGGTTTCTTTAGCCAGTTATAGTTTTACTCTTTGCCATTGGATATTTGTGTGGCTTAGAGTCTGTTATTACAACTTAAGGAGTTTATTTTTTACCCCAACTTTGGCCAAGGCCAAATGTCTTGGAAGTTCCCTTTCTAATCACTTCTGAGAGGGTGCAGCCTTGGGCCTGCACACAGCTGTCCAGATTACTAGAAGGCAAGTAATTTTATTTTTAAGCATGGCTTAATAGTATTTTCTCCAGGTTCAGAATAGCTTAGTTTTTAGCTAGTGTTTGCTCAGAGGTTATACTTAAACACCTTGAGTGAGTGAGGCTTCTGCCCTTTGTTGATGGATCTGTGTGCAGCCTGGGAAATGTTTTCAAGTCTGACCTATGTGTTGTTTTGAGTAGGTATAACCTAGGACATGTGTGTAGCTTTTCAACCCCTGGGGTTTACTGGGATCCCAGGAAGACCCTTCCTGGTTGTTTCTTTCTTTAGTTCTTTCTGTTAAAGCTATGGTTGTTCTAACATTTTGCTTGTTGCTAGCAGTATCATGAAGCTACCAGTGCCCCCTTAATTGTTCTTCACCAAGCTCTCTATTATTTTCAGCAACACCCTTAGGCAGGGAATCCTCCATACTCTGCACTAGATAAAGTCACTAACATCAATAAGAACTGTGGAGCTCTTCATCCTTATGGCATCTGCCTTCCCCTGGGAAAGTCTTCATGCTACTGTGAGGGAGCTAGATGCAGTGATAGTGGCATCACCGCCCAGTTTCACCAAGAGTGATATCCCTAGTGGATGATAAGAAGGGAGGAGGTAGCTCTCAACCTTATTAGTCAGCTGCTTCTAATGTGGGATCACTGCCTATGAGTGAACTGGGAAAGGGGTGATCAGGATCCCAGTATTCTTGATGACTACACTTAAGGTGGAGAGTGGAAACTCCATGAGTAGGACTTGGGTAGAGGAATGGTGCCTCAGTCTTCTTAACCTTTTTTGACTAGAGCAGAGGTTCTGCCACA